CTCTTTGTACTTGTCGCAGGTACCACATCGTGTAAAATTATCTCCGGGTCTTTTGACATCGAATTCTGGAAACCTAGATGCTCTGATCTTGCTCAAGTTTGAAGAAGAGACCTCCCTCAATCCAAAAGCAATATTAACTTCGTTGATTTTTGGAATTTGATCTTTCCATTGAAAGGTAGCTGGGAGAATCATCGAAACCATCTTCTCCCCAGATTTTGTACTGCGAGTACGATGTGGCATGTGATCTGCCTCCTTCTCGAGGATACACTTCAACGTAGCTGTCGCTTGTTCAATGTGCTTCCTTGGCTTCGATAATCCAGTGTTGCCATGGTCCCTCGCCTCCTGATTAGCTTTTACATATGCTTGGTAGCAGTAGAATGTTGCTTCTGATACCCCAGAAATATGCATCCATGCACGCAAGCACACGGTGATCCCCTCCACTGTCACCATCTTCCGCCCGCTTGCATCTCTATGAACTGCCCTATGCACATCTAACTTCATATGGGCTCTGAACTGGAATGTAGATCCATTATACATTCGCTCGCGGAATGATTTAATCTTCTCTCTTGGAAAAGGCTGCACGCAGTTCCTCATACAGCACACTTTACTTGAAACCAAGTTGATAGACTCTTCGCTGAGGAGTTTTTTTTACTTTAGAGGTGACTCTTGAGAGGGATTTCGGATACCATTCATATATGGCCTTTTGGACTTTGAGAGCGCCGAGTTTGCCCGAGCTGCGTGCAATTGATTGAAGTTATCCTTAGCCTTGTGGTCGTGGAGACTAGCACCATGGCAATGGACTAGCTTTGTAGGCCATGCCACAAGTGCGTACACAAGATCTTGGGGGATGTCATCTTGGGAATGAGTTTTGCAAATGTGGACTGCGACCTCAGTGTCACCAAGAGGACCATTAGCGCCGAGCACAAGATCAGAATTAACACTATGGCATGTACCCTCGCCTACCAATTTTCCATGTGCATTATAGAGGGTCACACACTTCGTAATCCACAGACGCCGAGGAAGTCCTTCACACTCGGGAATTGCAGGACTGATGGATTCAGCGTCCTCAAAATCATCCCCTGATGAATGAGCCATGTACACTTTGTATTCCGAAGCGTTTACGAGTCCTCTGGACAAAAACAACCACTTCATCAAAATGATGAAAGAAACCTTACACCAACATCCAGACACAAGAGGCAATATTCATACTTATCAGATCGAGTCGATCTGATTAGCGGACATGTATGGATGAGAAAAAATTGTACAAAGCAAAACAATGAACCACATTTCAGTGAATGCCAATTTCCGAATGGCAGCGCACATCTCCGCACTGATAAGAATACGTGACACGTACATCAGTTTGAGTCGAGCTGATAATAGATGTTAGAATTCACTCACAAGGATGTACCCGACGTCTAATTAAACCAGCTCAACTGAAGTTGATTATGGACATTGGTTCTCCAATACGAGGGCGTAATAGAGCACTCAGAAAATCAGCTTGAATCGAGCTGATTCAGATTGTCAGTTATTTAAAGGAGGACGAACTGGACCTCACACAGAATCAGCTCGATTCGACTTGATTCTGGATACTGGTCTTCAATAACGAGGACGAACTGGACCTGTCATTGAATCAGCTCGAATGAAGCTGATTCTAGCTGTTAGTTTTCTTTAACGAGGATGTTCTGGACCTCTCAAAGAATCAGCTCGACTCGATCTGATTCTAAACGTTTGTTTTCAGTATCGACGACGTAATACACCTCTCAGACAATCAGCTCGACTCGAGCTGATTGTTGACATTAATACTTTTGAATGAAGACGTAATGGACGTCTCAGAGAATCAGCTCGACTCGAGCTGATTTTAGATTTTTGAAAACAATAAAAATGTCGAACTGGACCATTCATAGAATCATCTCAACTTGAGCTCATTCTATACAAAAAAATTTAATAACAAGGACGCATGGGACCTTTCAGAAAATATGGACTTCTTAAAGAATCAGCTCGGCTCGATCTGATTCTGAACGATTATTTTTAGTACCGAGGACGTAAATTACCTCTCATAGAATCAGCTCGACTCGAGCTGATTGTTGACCTTAATACTATTAAATGAAGACGCACTCGACGTCTCAGAGAATCAGCTCGACTCGAGCTGATTCTAGACAACAATTTTCAATAACAAGGACGTATTGGACCAATCAAAAATTTTGGACCTCTCATAGAATCAGCTCGACTCGATCTGATTCTGAACGTTTATTTTCAATATCGACGACGTAATACACCTCTCAGAGAATCAGCTCGACTCGAGCTGATTGTTGACATTAATACCTTTGAATGAAGACTTATTGGACGTCTCAAAGAATTAGCTCGACTCGAGCTGATTTTAGGTGATTGTATTCAATAACAATGACGCAGTGGACCTTTCAAAGAATCAGCTCTACTCCAACTGATTCTTGACAATAGTTTTGAACAACGAGGACATATTGGACCTTTCAGAAAATCAGCTCGGGTCGAGCTGATTTCCATAGCACATATTATAAATTATCAGAGAGACACAGTTATAAAGCGAGTCATCTGCACTATTGCGGAATTGTATGGGTACGTGTTACTGTAGCAGGACAAGATTGTACCGAATTCTGGATGAACAGTACTATATTGAAAAAAAATGCCCCTCCGCATCATTAGGTCATTGCAGGACCTCACTCGCCAAAAATGTAATAAATGAGAGCACAAAGAGAAGACTAATCCATACATTACTCTTGCCGGGGGATGACCGCAACAGCCCAAATGGCTGGACATGAAGACGTACAAAACATAAGAAGAAAACCAATACAATGGGCAACATCGGAACCCGCTTCAATTCAGACATGGAAGCTCACCTAAAAATTGGAAATTGCAAGTACAGAGAATGAGAGCAAAATTAATTCTAGCGCTCGTGCATTATCAATCGTAAGTAGACAAACGAAGGGACGTTCGGAGGGCATACCACTTGGACACTGGAGGTCGACTAAGCCACCAAATCGAAGAACGTAGCTAGTGTGAGAGCAAAGAGGAATGCAAAACACAGGATTGACATCCGCAGAACTGACTGTGCGGGAATGCAGTCAACGCAGCCCACCTACTCTGGGCACGACATTATCCACGGTCGATCCTCCACAGCAGATCTGACACGTCCATTGTAATAGACAGGGGCAACGCCAAGGATCCAGGCACGGTTCGATACTTGGGTGTCGAGGGTATGTTGCTGCAGGGCAGGACTCCGTGGAGAATTGATGCTGACATGACATCAATTGGGATGTGGGATGCGGATTTCTAAAACGTTCATATTTCAAGTTCAATTTTGTATGCTATTTCATATATCAATTATCTTGCTATGACATTTTATTCTTTGATAAGTGATAAAATGATTATATGAAAGAAGGACAAGTGAATTACTTGTTCGTTTAATCCTTCATTGCAAATGTGTACATACCTCTAAAAGTAAATATGATTCAGATATTTTATGTGTCGATATGTAATCATCTTAAATGCATAGCATTGACTATATTTATATGATTATGTGGTAAAAGAAAAACTAAAATAAAACATATTAAGTAATAGTCCTTGTATTATGCATATCTTGTATAAATTATTGCGCATGTCAATAATATCAACATTCGTTAAATTGAGTCTTTTCATAGTCTTAATTTAATACTGATCTTATATCTGTAATTGATTTTTTGATTGATCTTATATTTTTAATTGAAATTTTTATTATAGATGGAAAAGTTATCCTCGACTTGAGATTAATTTATAAAAATAAAGGATAATTTAAAATAATAAAGGATAATTTATAAACATGATATGAATATATTATGGAATTTTGAAGTTTGTAGGTTAATGTGAGTAGTATAAGTAATCCGTTGTCATGGGGTTAGTCACATTAGTGACATTAGTCACATTTGGGAACTTCAAAATTCCTTATTTTATTCATGTACTAAAAGTAAACTATTCATTAGACGTTCAAAATGAATGAATGTCTTGAATGTGATACTTGAGTAATTAATTAGTATTTTTTTATTCACATTGATTCAAGTTTTGAGAATGAAATAGAAGAAAAGGTAGTATTTGCAATGACATGAATGGTTTTTTGATTAAGAAATTGGAGTAGATGAAAAAGGTTGGAAAATTTAAAATAATCATGTAAATTAAAATTATCCTTTTTAAAAAACTTTACATATACAACCAAATGCAATCCACTGATTGTATTAGTTCGACCTGCTAGTGTGAAGAATTGGTTTTATTTAAAGGCATGTTGTGTTTTCAATCATTTGGATTTTGTTGTGAAATGTCAGAAAACAGTCATTATACACTTTCTGTACACACATTATAGGAATGATTTGAAACTGAGATTTTATAGAAAAGAACGTCGTTTCTCTCCAACATTTCCCATTCTGTTCCCCAGCAGTTTCCGATGAGTTCCCGTAAAAACGACATCGAAGCTCCCGACGAGTTTCCACCAAAATCACGCAAGGGAACACGGCCGGGGCACGTGAACGCATATGCTCAGGGTGGGGGTTAAACAACATTACCGCCCACAAATTTCTCCTCTTTCTCTTTTTTGTTGTGCACATCGCTCCTAGCGCATTTTCTCTGTGCTTCGTCACGTTGTCGTGACCCTCGCTTCTCTCCTCTGCTTTGCTGTTCCTCACTTCTTGTTTGCTGTTCCTCACTTCTCCTTTGCTGTTCTAGCTATTTTATTGCATTGTCAATCCCAGGTGACGAGGGCAGGAGCTTTTGACGCCACAGAGAGCTGTTTTGATTCCCTTGTGCGTGACGCTGCCTACGTTCCTGTAAGTACCGACTTGTATTTATCTACGGTGTCGAATTCTTGGGTCTCTTCCTCTTCGTTTTCAATCACATTTGTGTTTGACGTTGCATTTCATTTATTGGTTGTGAAATTGATCTCCTTTACTGCTTGGTGTCGTCTTGGATCTGTAGTGTCACAGTGCGCGGTTTTTGTATTCGTATGATAACGAATAGGGCAGAACAGGAGGACGTCCGCGGCCGGGCGCACATCACGTGAGGAATCACAGTTGCGCCCTTACGTCATCAGTATCTCGCAGATCCAGTTCCCACAGGTAATTCTCTACAAAATCAGTGTCGTTCCATTCGAGCCGAGCTGATTCAAGAGTTTCTTATTACCATACACATGGTAATAGAAACTCTGACGTGGACGAAGATCAGCTCGACTCGGGCTAATTTGTGCGATCGCTCTGACCTGCCATCAGCTCGACTCGAGCTGATTCATGCAATCTCCCTGACCTGCCATCAGCTCAACTCGAGCTGATTCATGCAATCTCCCTTACCTGCAATCAACTCGACTCGAGCTGATTCATGCAATCTCCCTTACCAGCCATCAGCTGCACAAACTCTGAATCTTGCAATCGTTCGACCTACCATTAGCTAAACTCTAACTATATCTTGCGATAGCCCCGACATGTCATCAGCTCGATTCGAGCTGATTCTTACGATAGCTTCGACATACTATCAGCTCAAATCGAGCTGATCCACGAGCTTCATTTCAATGAGCGCGTAAAAGGAGGAATTCAGTCTTCGAATAAGATCAGCTCGATTCGAGCTGATTCGTTCAATCGCATGAAGCTACATTCTCCTTCAAATATTCTGATTTAGTTTACGCACCGAAATATTATTGAGGCCAGAATAATTAGTCATAATCCAAACAAATTAAGTTAACTTCTCTTAAAAATTGCTGAATGCATATCCATTGCTACATTCACATAGGAATATAAAATGAACCATAATATTAGCATAAAAAATGACACCATTTTAATTAAATCTAATCTAGAAAACTTATAATTCTAGCGTCATCATTGACGCATAAACTCCATGTACCCCGAGTTCACTCTTTCCTCCGGTACAGAATTACTACGCATAACACCAAAGAATCAGCTCGAGTCGATCTGATTTGACGTGAAGAATATATAGTAGATTTCCATGTTTCGGCATTAAAAACACATTAAGATGAATCATACAATTGGAAAACCTGACTAAAATCATAAATTTGTATTCGTAATCGTTGTTTTCCAAAATACTAACATTGGCCTACATAGAACACCCTACGCAATACGAGGACCATAAATCAGCTCGAGTCGATCTGATTTCATATATAAGATTATTGTTCTTGTGTCCAATAATACATTTGATATAGTAAGAAGAGTTTAAAACGTTCATTGGAGTAAATGTGTCATTAAGTCTATGGGACATAATCTGACATGTTTGCTTCTACGTCTGTTGCAGATGGAGGACATCAAGGCATCATTGTCCATGTACTTGGATAAGCTCGACCGGCGTGCCGATGACGATGACGAGACCGACCCGCGGTTGATTTATGGAACCTCGTGGAAGTTTTTTGACCCAGAGGAGCTCGAGGCATGGAGTCTAGCTATGATTCCATTCACGCAAGACATCCAGTTTTTGTTCAAATTCAAGAAAAGCCAAGCATTCTTGAAGCTCAAGACAGTAGAGCGGGTAAAGGATGTCGAGTACTTAGACGGCGACATGATCCTGGTGAAGTGCGTAACTACCGGAGTTTTGATAGATCCCACAGATGAATATCACTTCACAATTCTCATACCCTCGAAGCAGATCCCCTTCATAATGTCTCCCTTCCTCGAAAGCCTCGAGCCCACTGAATACAGCGGAGAGGTGAAGCAACTCGAGGCAAAAATCGACAGGGGGGACTACAACGAGAAGGACGGGTCCCCAGCTTTTGGCAAGCGGCTCTGCACTAAGATAAATTCACTTCTGCAAGATTTCTCCGTCATCAAAGGTAAACTAGAGGTGCAAAAACTATTAGCTGCCCTGCGGTCTGTCCGGAGAGAAGTTCGAGCAGTAGGTGGAAGTCAAGCTTCAGTCGATACAACAGCTCCTGCGCCTTCAAGCAGCCGGGGAAAAGCGAAGCCACGGTACAGGGCGAGGATCGACGAGAAGTAGAAGTAGCCCCATTGCGCCTTCTGGAGATCGCCGAGCGGCTTCGGGCAGCTCCCAGGTGTCGGAGGTTCAACATCCGACCCTTGCTAATGTGATGACCGACATTCCGTCGTCGTATGAACCCCAGAGTAAGCCCGACTTCAAGCACATCTTCGCAGTGTACAAGAAGTTCTGGTCAGAGTGCGAAGATGCATACATCTTCGGGGTCAATACAAAGAAGGGCATCTCCATAGATAAACTCATTGGTGCACCTACGAAGTTCAACATTTGATCGAAAGAGGACAAGCTCGTTGATGCAATGGTGGTGTATCTCATGAACCTGCCCGATCGAAAGGCCCGGCAAACGTTATGCGTAATACCCACGAACAGAATCTCAAAGCCGACAACGTGGGAGGAGATCAAAGACGGAGAGTTTTTTGTCATCAACGGGCAGCACAGTGTTGCAGCCAGCAGGGTCATAATCGACGAGAGTAACGTGGTTGATGACGATGTGAAGAGCGACTTCCGCGTCTGAAGTTGCTTTATTGTATGGTCGAGCGATCCAGAGATACTGAGATCCATATCAGCATACTACAATCGGATCAATCACTTTCAGATGATACAACCGTCATGGGCGACCAACATCCTCGGAGCACGATCGGTTTGGGTGAGTATGGGATGCCCAGAGAATCCTTCCCAGATCACAGCCGCCGGCACGACAGCTGGGAGAAGAGCTTCGGACATTCAATGTAGAACGAAGGGATTCAAGGTAAGAGAATCAGATCAAGTCGATCTGATTTGTATTATGTGAATATCTTGACTTGGGATCAGATCGAGTCGATCTGATCTGAACGGTTGTACTTTCCATCACAGTCGAATTATTTTTGATGTGACGACATTTCTCGAGTGACTTAATAGTCTGATATTATGAAGGCTTGTTCAGAGGATATCAGCTCGACTCGATCTGATTTGCTATTCTCCCTCTTTTGAATTGAATTCTTTGCTATGATTCAGAAAATAAATATTTAACTTCTTCTATTTGCTCGCAGGCATTCGAGAAAGCAATGACTTTGAGGTTCTCATTGATTGATGTCAACAAGTCATTGAGAATTTCACGCACCATGGGTGCAGAGGAGAAGCTTAAGCTCGTCAATGAGCTAAAGATCATCACTGCCCCGGAGCCCATCTACAACCTCTGGAGTGAGGTTATTTCCAGTGCTGCCCACGGAGAGCTCTACAACCCCGACACCTCTGCGAAGTTCAACGAGAAAGAGAACTGGAAGCAGGAGAGTTGCATGCTCAGCCGCGAGTACTTCAAGTGGCTCGGCCAACATAGACCCAAGCCTGAGCCTGAAAGATCTGGAGAGGCTCGCGAAACACCTTCTTAACCAATCTGGGGAGAAGCGAAAGTTCCCTTATCCAAAGGTGACGATTAAATCAATCTCGTCTGTGCTTGAGAGCTGCTATAGCACGAAGGACTGGGTGGATAGGAGGAAGAGGAAGCAACTAGTGAAGAAGGAGCTCGACAACATAGACCCAAGCTTGGGATTAATCAACACGGAAGGCGATCTCATTCATGAGAATTGGAAGGCATTCAAGATGGCTCGTAATATCATGAGTGCATCAATAAACGTCCTCCTTGAGCGGCCTGGAGAATCCTACTTTGCTGAAGCGAAGCAACTGAAGTCCAAGAACAAGACCTGCGCGCAGATTTCTCTGGCCGCAGCAGAGTTCTTCAAAGTTTTCTTGAATCATAAGAACGGGTTCCAGGTGCCATATGCATGTGCCTATTACAAGACTTATGATGTGAGGACGAACACCTTCAGTAAGTGGAAAGACAACGCATGGAATAACGAGAGCGCTCGTGATATCAGGCTTGGAATCATCGACCTCTGAGAGCTTTCAGGGGTGGAGGATGATCTTATAGAACAAAACATCGTCCCTTATTTCCATCAAGTTCTTGCTGCTCTGGAGAAGAATAAAAGTCCATACTTCGCAGATGGAAAGAGGTGGCTCTTCATATTCGGCTGCGAGAGCCATAGACTGCAGACAATGGACTTCATCAACTCGCACGGGGCCTTCAAAGGCCTGCACATTGACTTTGCAGACTACATTCCTGCAAAGTTCGAGCGTCTTGGAGATTCCTCAGTTGGGCGAGCGCCAAGGAAGGTAATCCTCACTTTCTTGCAAGATGTAGACGCCCGTGACCGTGTCGAGATCCGACCGGAATTTCTTCCTCCCGACACACCAATGTTTACCAAGCCTCACGGCTACAACGAGTTGGAGTTTCGAGTATACAACACCGAACTACGAATGGAGTTCTATCTCTGGCTAGTGCGGAAGTTCTGCCGTCCAGGGGGGTCCATTTTTTCACTATGGGGGGGAGGCAAGATCACTTGCACGACAATGGTAGGTACTCAATCAGCTCGAGTCGAGCTGATTTGCTTCTCAATCAGCTCGAGTGGATCTGATTTGCTTTTCAATCAGCTTGAGTCGAGCTGATTTTCTTCTCAATGAGCTCGAGTCGAGTTGATTTGCCTCTGAATCAGCTGGAGTCAAGCTGATTTTCTTCTGAATCAGCTCAGGTCGAGCTGATTTGCTTTTAAATCAGGTCGAGTCGAGCTGATTTGCTTCTCAATCAGCTCGAGTCGAGCTGATTTTCTTCTCAATCAGCTCTAGTCGAGTTGATTTGCTTCTCAATCAGCTCGAGTCGATCTGATTTGCTTCTCAATCACATTCATTTCTTTTTTTCATATCCACTAAGCTGTCCGCGTGTCATTTCATGCAGATGAGTTCCGTGGATGTCTTTGCGGTCGGAGGGACCGGAGAGTCGGATCGGTGGGAAGAGATCTCTAGGAAAGCACTCACTCTTGACAAAGATGACTTCCTTCCCAGTGGATACAAGGTGAGTGCGATATACAAGTCTATGGCTACCACGCCCACACGGTCAAGAGTTGGAGCACGGCTCAGTGACCGCTTCGATTCTTCTCCATCAAAGAAGCGGAGGATAACACCAGTTGACGACGTTCTCGTTATATCAGATGAAGACGACGACAAAGGGGACGACTACGACTATGACCCGGACGAGGAGAAGGAAGTCAACGAGAAGGTCAAAATCGACGACGACGACCTTCAAGAGTTGGATCCCATTCAGTCCAATGCCATACTACCTGAGCGGCGATCTCGGGTTATTCCCCAGTCAGCACAAGCATCTGATAATCCACCTTCCGGTGGAACTCCTGGTGTGTCATCTTCTGGGGGGCGGAGGAGGAAGAGGAAGGACATGGACTCTGTGGCTACCGTCATGGAGTCCATTTCGGCGATTCTGGCAGACAGCCAGCGGAGGCACGAGCAGCAGATTGCAGAAATCAATGCTCGATAAGATCGTGATCGTGCCAAGAGCATGAGATTGTTCGAGGAGTCCCGGAGGATGCACGAAGACACATCCCGCATGATGCTGCAGCAGCAGCAGCAGACAAATCTTCTCCTCTCTGCATTCGTGAGGCTTAATTTCCAACTGCCAGACGTCCTTCCCGCCCCTCCTTCCCAGCCTCCGTCGCTGATGCTTGGGAATGCACCATCTCGATCTGTCATGAGCTGATCCAGTAGTGGACATGCGGAAGCCGCCAATCTTCCGCATTCAAGTGCTGTCAATGTCTCGGGCGAAGTGGCTCCTACTACATCTCAACAACACAGTCCGACGTCTCCGGCAATCAATTTTTCAATCGGTGAAGTTTCCAGAGTGGAGGTAGCGTCAGTAGAACCACATTCCATGGAGTGCCCCACAAATCTAGAGGACGATACTCTAGAGATAGCGGTTGGCAGTGATCAATTAGCCTTTCGGGATCCAGATGCAGGTTTTGACACATAATCACTCGCTGTCAATTTTTTTTAGCTCGACTCGAGGTGATTTGTGTTATTGGCTAGTGCGTCTAGAGTATAGTTGAATAAGCAAATTGTTTTTGATACGGAATTCCTAATGGAACCAACCAGGGAGCTCAATACTTTTGATATGAATTTTGTACATTTTTACTCAGTCGATGAGTTTCAAATACTTGAGGGGCTCATTTGCTTCTACATTGAATCACAGGTGATGAAATCCTTGCAACTTTGTCAGCTCCTTCTGCTTCTCCCTCTCCGCTGTTTTATCCCACCTCGGTGGCATTCGTTATTTCTGCCAAGTCGGTTCCTGAGTCGCGGACCGTGATCTCTGACAGTCGATCCGAATCATTCGCCTCTTCAAAGCAAAAGGTGTGTTTCATTATCCCGTGTTCTAGGCTCCTCTGGTATGTGTGTCTTCCACGGTGCGCTTCTTTGTCTATGGCATGTAATTGTATGGTATATTTCGGGATCGTCGCGCTCATTTGTAGTTAGTCAAATGCATAATTGGCTCCTTCGTGGGCCGTTTGTCTTAGCAGGTATCCGATCCTCCAGTTCGTAATGAGGGGCCGTTGGAAGACCTTGGTCGTCCATTGAGGTCCAAGGCGGTTGACAAGTGGCTGAACGTCGTTCTAGACCCCAATGGAATTCTCTGTGTTTGCGAGGATTGGAAGTCTAATCGAAGCACAAAGCAATATAGCAACTCTTCGGTGCCGCACTCAGCCACGATTGGCACCATTGTGGGAATGAAAGCTGTCTACGTGCGGCCGAATTGTTTGAATTTTTTGGCGGAGCTAGGAAAAATAGCCAGGATTAGTGTATGGAGCTCTATGAAAAGTTCGAACATCCAGGGCATTGTAAATTACCTTTTTCTAAAAGAGATGTTGCCAGGCCTCGTACTAAGGCAGGATTCGTGTACGACAATTCGGTTCCGAGACTCCTCAGGATGATTGACCACCTTCATGGTTCCTGGAACGCATAAAGAGTTGTTCTTGAAAAATTTAGACACTCTATTCTCTGGTTATAAGGGAATCTTCAATTCAGAAAACACAATCATAGTGGACGACAGTCCTCTGAAGCACATCATGAACGATTCAAAGAATGTCTTGCTTCCAAACTCTTGGTCTAATGATGGGAATGGGAACCGGGACACATTCCTCCTCCGCACCTTGCTTCCTTGGTTTCAACGACTGCACCTTGTTCATGACCAAGGGTTAAAGTTATTCCGAGAACATGGGCCAAGCAGGATTGGGCAAAAAATGTTGTGTGATGAACGGAATCGCACTAAATATAACAAGGTTATGGAGCTAGTTCGAGGGTCTTCTCCTAATTATAATTAGGACAGCCATGCACGTATGTATTGTAAGAGTACGTATCTCCGAAGAGGACTGTGATTCAGATCGAGTCGAGCTGATTTGTCAATGTATTGGATCAATGGACATTTGTTTACTTGTCATGGATGTGGAAATAGGAGTTGGAGGTCATGTGTAATTCTCTGATGGATAGTGTTGTATAGTGTTTCATGCAACGTGGTCGTGATTGGCCTATTGTCTCTCTGAACCATTGGACCCCTCTCCCGAACACTGATCGGTTCTCCCGCCTGCTGGCTTGTTTCTCCTGGTCCCCACGGAAGTGCCAATAAACTGCTCCTCGGTTTTGGTAGTACTGGAGCTGCTATCGTCTTTCCTTTCTCCGGCAACGGTTGACTCAACTCATAAACTATTACAGACTGTATATAATTGGAACACAGAAGCGTTGCAATTCTACCTGACCTGCGCTTGTAACTCAACTCTGCATGAATTTTGGTAGCCATGTACGCTGCCGAATTGAACACCATACCCTCGAAGGAGCCTATTGTCGCATATAATAATCGTTTAGCCATATACGTCATATGTCTATTTAATCCCAACCTCTTCTGAAAGAAGCGCATCCACTCCATCAATTCTGGTGTAAGTGCATCCGCCGTCCGCCATCCTTGATTCCTTTCTAGCGACATCATACCTCCTTTAAAATAACTCCCCGGATTGAAGTCTGAAGACTCTTCTGCGCCAACCGCTAACTCTCCTATTGGTAACTGTAATGCCTTATGCAAGGTATTCTCATCAATTCCCAAAGTCCTCCCTTTTACAACACTCGAATCATCCTCAGGATCATAGTTCGTCAAGTATTCTTCCAATAGTTCTACATCGATTGATGGTAAATTGTCTACCGCTCGCAGAAAAGGATATAGCTGCACACTTCTAAAGTCCTTCTGCCACGTTGCATTCCAGCAAATTTCTAACCGCATGGGTTCCATATTTGTGAGTATACAAAGAGAAAGCTCATCCATATTACTCCTTGACCTCACCCTTCTACCCTCTTCCTCCTTCTCCGAGGCTCTCTTCACCTTCTCTCTTGACATTATAAAGCTTTGTGTATTCGCACTAATACTATGATTTATCATGAACTCTCCACTAATGAACTATGCTTCAACAATTCTAGACAAAATACTGAAGGCAGCTACACAGAGTGCCCCTCTCCTAACTGTTTAACCAGTTATGAAACAAGAATCCCTAATCTTGATTGCTGATGTTCTAATACACTAATCAACCGCCGTCATTTGCCTTCGATTAGACACTTATGATGGCAGGCAAGTCATCATGAACGGCACGTTTGCCTCCTCCAATCTTGATAAACCCGCCCCCGAGTTTATGTATAATACAGGCGTAGTCGGTTTCCATTGATACGGGTTGTGAATTTGGTTCCCGTGAAATCTTCCAATTGGATAGAACCATTGGGAAAGGCTGCCAATATGCGATAGGGTCCATGCCACCGAATTTGAAATTTTCCCGGGAAATTGTACTCCACCAATTTATAGTATAAAAAGGGATAAATGACTGTTGGAAAGATAGTTCAGTAGTTAAAATGGATGAATAGTTAGAAAAAGTAGTTTTTATTAGAGATGTAGCAGTTGGTATCTCATGGTAGGATAAGGAGGATGAGAGAGAGGAAGAAACGGCCATTACTGTGATAGTGTGAGCCGGGGTAAGCTTGGTGCTACCTCTTTTCTTTTGTTGTTATGTTCTTTGAAATAAGAGTATTGAGAGTTTCTAAATATTGTAAAGTGAATCATAGAATGAAAGTGTGATTGAAATTATATGTTATTGAATGAGAAGAAGAGAGATTGAATGTTGAAATGTGAATGTAGTTCAGGAGAAAGAGTGAATCTGTGGTTGTGTGAAACACTGTAATGTGAATGGTAGTTCTGTGTGAAGAATTCCAGTAATTGGAATGAGGGTAATTGTGTGCTGAAGCTGTGATGTTGTGGTATTACAGTTGGAGATTATAACAGTGAAGATATATTGGTGGAAATAACAGTTATTGGTATGACTGAATTGTTGTAAAGAAGAGATTGATAAGGTAAAAGGAGAGATTATAGTTTCCTTCTGTGCTTAGATAATGGAAATAGAGACGATATATTGGAGGTAATTAATTGTGTGACCCTAACGTGAATGCTTAAGCAATTAGTCACTCCCCGTGTTCGAATTCCCCTATATAGGTTTATTCTAGGAGGTTCCTTTCGGAATAAGTAAAACGATCAACCACAGTGGCTGATTGGGCCTCCTTTACAAACATTTTCAATTCTGGTGGATGTAGTCCATTAACCAATGTGGACAATACAAATGATTTCGGCATTTGGTTATTTGACCATTTTTGAAGTATATCCACTACACGACCATAATATGATTGTACCGCTTTCCATGGTACCATTCTACTGTTCATTAATTTTTCTCTAAGACGTTCTTCAAAACCAATTGGTCGAAAATGGGCTAAAAATGTATTTTTCAATGCCTCCCAATTGATAAATTGTCCCACAGATTGGTGGTTATATCAATCAAACGTTGTGTCTTTCAATGTCGCTGGTAGCCATCTTAACCAAATGTCTTCTATTCTTCCATTATTGGCTACACACGCCATCAAAAATTGAGACAAATGTTGATCTGGATTCACATCTAGCAAATTCCAAAAAGTAGGTAATGGTGCAACGCTAGTCGTTCAATCGCCCACTGTACCCATTTGAATTGCAATCGAAACTGCTAGTCCTCCGGACATCATTAAAGATGCCTGTGTTCTGCTCAATTTTTTATTAAAATAAAAACTGTCTCCCGCAAAAGTCTTTTTCGGACTTCTAGGCCTTCCCGATTGACTATTATTATCTCCAAATAATTTTACTGGTTGAATATGAGGTAAAAACGATAGGTTTTGATATACTCTGAATTGGTCTTTATTGGCAAGTGATTTATGCCGATCTTCAGAACCAGTCTTGTTAGGGTTGGACGTATTTCCAATTAAGAAAATACCCAGTGGGATACCTAATTCCTCTGTGACTTCCTCGTTTTCTGTTAACGGCTTCGAGAGGTTTGCTGGACTATTAGCAGCGCTCCCCGCGAGTACTCTTAGTAATTTCTTTAATAATATGTACTTCTGAAATATTAGAGGTCAATCATCTTCTGGGTACGATCAAATATGCTGACAGGCATGCAACCACGACTTAATCCAACTTTGTCGATGCTTCTTTTTTAATTTGCAATCTTGTTCATTACGCAACAAATTTCTTACTTGCAATTGCTCTGTTTTTTCCTTTGATTGCTTTATTTTCTTTGCTTTTAAATTCTCATTCTTAATAACTATATTCTTTCTTCAAACACTACTGAAATTGTCTTCCATTGCCAATTTTCTCACATATTTGATAATTAATTCCTAACACTCAAAGCTATTATCACTCCTCGGCAGCAGCGCCAAAATGTGATTGCTCGTTTTACTTATTCTGGAAGAAACCTCCTAGCATAAATCCGTATACGGGGATTCAAACACGAGGAATGACTAGTTACTTAAGCGTTCACGTTAGGGTCACACAATCAATTACCTCCTGAATGTATTGTCTCTATTTTCAATATCTGAACACACAAGGAAACTATAATCTCCTCCGTCACCTTATCGGTCTCTTCCTTATAGCAATTTAGTCATATCAATAACTGCTATTTCCACCAATATATTCACCCTCATAATCTCCAATTGTAAT